ATGCAATGCAAAACTACTATCAACCAGGAAACTCAGTCAATTATATTCAATTTTTTGAAATGTTTTCAAAATATCAGGATTCACATCAATACAACTTTTTCAGTCCAAGTCATCAAGCAAAATTTTCAGATATGAAGAAATAATCTCATCATAGAAACCATTGTTAAATACCAATTTTGACCATTTGTTTGTTGACTCAAGTTTTGTTTTCATTTTTGGCATCTTGGTATGAATTCACAATGATGAAAGTATGGCAAACATGTCATATAATCCTGAATTCAACTCAAACCTCCTTAACTAATGAGATAAATAAGCTATTAAAAATATAGTATACCTAAGTTTGACAATAAAGTTAATAGTTGCATGAAATGAAGAAAAAAAACTTGGAACATGATCACCTAACTGATCACTACAACATAATGATTATTGTTAGCCAGACCAATGATCAGTAAATGTAGGTTTTAATGTTCAAAAGCTACTTGGGGTTGAACACCAAAATAGGGTTGACCAGACCTATATCCCGAGGGTAATTGTGCCACAGACTTGATGACATGGCCGTAACTACTAGTCAGGATTCATTTGCTTGCTTGGGTGTGCAGTCAGGCTTGGTCAATACTGAATATTAAATGACAATGCCAAAATTTCATCACATTTAACATATTATATGTTACAATAAATTTTGTACCGGTATATATTTATTTCAAGTTTCTGACTTTTGTCAAAAATATTGTTGGTGAAAATAGAACCCATACCATTTATTTAAAATACAGCCAATAACTGGAACTGATGATCAAAAAACATGCATAAATCTATACAGTCGATGCATGTCTAAGAAATGCCCAGGTCAAGTTTCAAATATGGCCACGAGTCGTCCATTTTTCAAGTCGTCTGCTGCTGTATTTTACAAATATTGAAGTCAAAACCAAGAAATGAGCATGCATGCATGGAACTTATTTCATTACACTGTTATAGATTTTGTGGTATTATAGAGCCATTGATCAATAGTAATTTATCTGCATCATCATCTTGAAAGACACTAGTAATGTGAACACCTGTATCCCCATGGTACCTAAGCATTACATGTACGCATGCACTAATAAATGAAAGATGGGTTTGGTGTGTTATTACCTACTTTATCATATCATTGTAACATGAGGATAAGTAGCATTATGATGAATGTACAGACTCAAAATATTAAACGACACTATTGGTACACTCGATCATAAAATATGTACATGTTTCTAGTCCTGCACTGCAATATTGACAGAAATAATTTTGCCAGTTTTCCCATGAAGAATGTTTGTTTTCCCATGAAGAAGGCCATTTTTTTCCATGAAGAATGTCTGTTTTCCCCTGAAGAAGGCCAGTTTTTCTATGAAGAATGTCTGTTTTCCCCTGAAGAAGGCCAGTTTTTCCAAGAAGAATGTCTTTTTTCCCCTGAAGAAGGCCAGTTTTTCCATAAAGAATAAATGAGCAATAGTTCCCGGATGACAGATTTCTAGCCCTGAGAAATAGTCTAAATAATGTCCAGTCAACACTTCTCATCAACAATAGTGAATTCTCCATTATTACATCATGATAAACATTAGTCTGCATTATTAAAATATGACTCAATTTGACAATAGACACATGTCTCATTTGTGCTAATACACAAATACCATACATGCACAAGGCACATTATACGCACATTACACAAGAGATCATAAAGAAATAACAGTCTCTATTTAATTAAAAACTGTTACCTGTTTAAGGTGGTTTTTCAACACTGTTCCTTCTGGTTCAGGTAAATCTGGCAACTCATCTGCACTTAGTGGCACTGTAATCTATAAGGAATAAAAACAATTTTATTCTGTAACCAACATCACAAACACATTTGCATATAGAAGTTTAAATATTATTTTTCATATTATGTTTAAAAGTTACAGAGTCATCATGTTGCACCATGTTTGGTGTGGCACCCAAGTGACTTTTACACAGCACATGTAATATACATTCAAATTAATAATATATTTGCATCAAATTTGAATGTACATTGTACAACAACTGTATCTAGCCTTTTAAGAATTAACGCATGTTTTATTAACATATCAGAATGTATTATAATAATCACAATATAAAAGTCAAATACCAAAGAGTGATCCATTTGCTATGCATTCTCATACATTTACCTTATTTGAATCAAGATCTATAAGCCAGACATCATCAGGCATTCTAAAACCAGCTTTGTATGGAAAGAAACTTGCAGGTACTCCAATGATGTAGGGTGTGGGAGCTAATAAGAGCTGAAATAGACAAGTTCAATTATTAAAAAGTATATATTAGTAGTGCCAAAAATATTATCAGGCAGAATCCTGTGATCTAGCATTTGAACAAATTTCCGCACGGAACAATTAATTATGACTAAATTATTTCAGGAAAAGACCCCCCCCCCCCCAACCCTCTCAATGACTTGAAGAGGGTTCTACATCATGTAGCAAAACAAGCAGGTTTGCTTAGCAGCACTGACTTTGACAGCATTTGTAATCTTCATCATCACCGATTACACTGAATGGCGTATACAGATACTAGGTGTACCAATTACTACACATTACAGATGCATAACAGCCGAATTATTTAAAGTTTTGAATACATGGAAAGAAACTATTGAATGGTGCATTGTGGGTAATTACCTGTTCAGCTGATCCCATACATGTTGGCAATAGGGGTATAACAGGAAACATGTATTCTAATGGATATAGCATAGCTACAAATGCCATGACGCTCATGGACAATGCATTGTAGTCTCTTGATTGCAGAACAACCTGTGAAGAAGAAAGTTTGTTGTAAATATTTTATTATGCAGCAGTGTATAGATAATTTATTTACTTGGAGAAAATATCTAATCAGCTGCTCACGTATGCATAGCTCGTGGCATGTCACAAATTACAATTTATAAGTACCATTTATCTGAATACAGAGACAGACAAGTATTATCTTTTACATTCATGAAGGTTCTGTTTTTTTATGCAGGTCTCTCAGAAGATTATTAATGATACTAATTAGAGCTTAATTATTCACTAAGTTTTACTTTTGCTTATTTTGCTGATAGCTAAATACGTTAAATTTAAAACCAGTGAATAAGTAACAATGACATGTTTTATTTTTCCCCTTCACAAACCAGTGAATTTAAAACCTTGAATATCTTTGCAACATAAAATCCACTAAAATTAAACCCAGTGAATATTTCTCATTTCACCATGTTCATGTAAATCCTTTAGCTGTTAAGTTTACAATCAGTGGTGCCTAAAAATTCTGAAATTGGCTTAATTTGCATATAAATAGCATACCGTTCTGTAGCTAACAGTCATCAATTTAGCAGGATTATCGAATGACAAGGTACGTGCAATCAGCAATTATCGACCAATGATTTGCTGATTAATCTAGCAGCAGCGCAAATATAATTTTTTTTTTGGGAATTGCCCCCGGCACAATAGTCCCGCGAGACGAAATGGAATTAACTGTCAAAAAATGTCATGCCTGTTGAGCATATTGAGAATACTCTTCAGACTAGACCGATGATGAATACGACAAATCATCTCATCATTTATCGCATCACATGATCAGATAATTACTACTTCACAGCACTCATTTCTAATGAAAAGAGCGGCCTAGGTATGAGAGAAGAGACAAGTTAATAATGAAATATGTGAGAAGTCCAGTTGTAAATTATTTTGAAATCCCTCTACTGTGCAACGGCATATATCTCAAAGGCAACAAGAAGCTTGCATTTTAACTACATATTAATTATTGCTAGAGTGAACGAAAATGTTCATTTTGATTTATTTAATTCTATATCAAACGCAATGATGTATAACACTACGATTACTTGAAATTTAGCTTCTTTAGTGATGTGAGTGAATGTGTAAAGGGTTTCCATGGAAACGTAACAGCATGAGATTACTAGATTGTGCACAAATTTATAATTTTTGTGTGAGAGTGATCAATCAGAATAGAGAAAAAAAATGATTCTTGCTTGCTTGCTTGCTGGACAATATGGCTTAATGAAGCAACCCGTCTTTCTAAACTGATGTTCATCTGCATCATTTACAAAGGCATATACGGTTATCCTTTTAATATTAGAACCAAACAATTAAATATGTTGTTCAAAGGAATGGAGAATATGATAATATATTAAAGGGTTGGCTATGGAATGGACGGTAAATCATGTATACACAGAGTAGATATTCAATATGGATAATGTGCCAATATGGTGTTGATGATGAGGAGGGGAACAATGGGCAAATATACATTTAGTTGCCTAAAAAACCTACATAACAGTTTTTCAGACATTGTTGCCTGAGCCATATTGGCAACACAATTATATCAGATACACAAGGTAACTTGTCAGGAGAAACATGCCTGTATGGTACAATGCCTCTTGTAAGCCAGCTTTCAGTTTTACATTTATAACAAGCAATGATAACGTGTTAATTAATACAAGGTACACAACAAATCTTACAACACAATAAATATTTATCTCAAAAACAGTCACTGTATTAGCCCTATTACAATGTAGTAGCGCATACACTTGCATATCTACGGTCAAATTATTGTCGTGATTTAGCAATTGTTTATGATCACTTCTATTGGAGATAAGCTTCCAATATAGGAAATTTTATACATATGTATATCAGTCAGAAATAAAACCTACCGTATATATATATATATATATATATATAAAATATCAATTATTAATCTAATTCTATTGGTATTCCTTTTTTTACTATATCACTTGTTATTTAATAATTTGATATGTATGACAGTCTTATTTATTTTTAATTGAAATATTCAGGTCACACATAAAACACCATTGTTTATCAAAACATGTCCTTCGTATATTTATCATAAAGTGTGCCATCTGGTAGGATAAAAATCACAACAGGAAGTGGCTGTAAAATTATATATAGCTTTAAATTGGGCTTAGACATCTTTAGTTATAGAATTATACAATAAAAAAAGCAACAGTTTTACATTGCTGATTCACAAAGATTAAGTTTTTTAACCAAGTCTTCAGGAGGTGCTGGTAATATATTGATTGATGCCCTAGTTTTCACATATAACAACACAGTGATGATTTTTTATTCAGGTCAATTGTAGTAAAAACCATATGTTTGTTGGCACTACTTATATTGTTAAGTATGGCAAAGTCAAGATTACATTCTGCAATATCATAAAAAACATTTTTTGCCTTAATCTTCAGAAATAAAATTATCATGCTTCAGTAAAGTAATTGTCATCACAGAGAAATGGGAATTTGTCAATCACATGATAATAGACAATACACTTTATTGCAATGTTTTGATTTCAAAATGCAAATTATACATATTCTCAGGGGAGAGTTACGCCACAAACTACCGGTATGTTACAATCCTGAACAACCAAATTTATATATGTTGCACATGTAGAGGTAACCTTGTCACACTGTTCATGAGGGTCTGAACAACTAGCCCAAAGTACAGTATTTTGAGAGTTTTAGACCATAGTCTTAACTGATTGTGGTTGCCAGGTGGTGAAACTCTCAGATGTTTGCTCCCGAGAATATGCCTCATTCTGAAATAGACTAAAAATTCATTAAGATTTCCACATCACTTTATATAATCCAATAGGCCTTTGGCATGACCTCTAAAGTTCACACATCCTGGTACTTCCGAAAAGCATACAATAATAATTTGACTGTAACATCAATAGAAGAATAAAAGAATTTCTGATCGATTATGATGTGTAACCATTGGGAGGAGGAAGGGGTGGCTTCATTCCAGGATAACTTTATTTTGTTAACTTCATTTTCATGAAGTAACATTATATGAATTTTTCTGCTGCTGTAAACATGTTGCATGTAACAACACATGTTCCTGTGCACACAGATAATGTTGAATTGTCTAATTTTGTAAAAAAAAAAAAAATGTAAACAGAAATAAGAAATAACTTTAATAATTATTTTATATTCAAATCCTAATACCCTAATTTGCTTTATTAAACACATCTCCAACAGAAGCACACATAAACTAAAAAATTGCGTTTATTGAATAGTAGATTATTATATGACCTCTGTTATTTATGTTTAGATACAGTATCGTAAATTTGTTTTGAACATGCAGATCTGCAACCTAGGCAGCCGACAGTACAGCAATGTTACAGCGAACTGAATGATAATCATGTACAATGGATGTCAACTGTATTGTTAAATGCATATTGTGTTTACTGTGTATTTATAAATATTTGCACACACATAAGCACTATATGATATACATATTATTGATGGTGCTAAATTTGTATGGCATGACGTATAAATCAATTGCATATGATACACGTTTAAATCGATTACAATGCAACAAAAATGAAAGACAGCATAATAATGGAAACAACATATGGTGTCTTATCATTCCATGATGCAGACCCAGGGATTGAAAGCTTTCCCTTTAAATATATACAACTCTACAAGTTATTTTTTTTCAATACATATAGCTATTGTAGATATAGATATGAGCATGTAATTTTTATTTGAAATATGTTATTTTTTTAGTTTGATACAAGACTTTTGAGTTATTCATTAAATTTCAAACAATAAACAAAACTTACCTTGTGTTCAAGGAGTATGCATGTCAATACTTTGAGGCATGTCTCAACTCCGAGAAGTTCAAGCGGCAAATGAAGAGGAAAGTCGGCTATACTATATCTGGTGTGATCTGGCAGTGCTAAGGTTAGGGCAGAGTGCATATGCAAGGGTAAAATTTGAAGCTCAATTCTGGTTTTTCCGGGCACAGGAACAGGTGCACTGAGAAGGCGCAATATCCAGGTTTCAAGCTCTCTGACATCGTGTCTTACAATACCAGGGTTTTCACAGACTCCAGACAACACACTCCAAACTGAATCTCTGCAATTAATCAAGTGAAGAAAATTAATTAATTAATAACCTTAACTAACTTGTCATTGGAAAAGTTTGGCAGAAAATATGACCTGGTATGCTGTTAAAAATGTTAGAAACTCTAATTTGTTTTTATAGTTTTCAATACAGCAATTTTTTATACTGGATAGTAATAAAGAAATGAGATACTAAATAATGAATAATAAACTTGAGTGGTTGGTATGTGTTTATCACACTGGTGATTATAATAATACATGTACTATATCAATCTCAAGGTTCCTTATTGAATAATATGAATTGCATAAAAATTCCTCAATATATCTGAGCAGAAATACAGTGCAGGAAAAATACTTTCCAACTTTTGGTACAATAAATAATTTATACTATATAAGGAAAACAACATATCAAATTACTGCACTATCTAAGTAACAGATCTTACAGAAGATATTATTGACATTTGGTTCTTATGATAGGCAGCAGTGAAAATGTTTTCATTTTTTTGCATTTATTTCTATGTCTGACAAATATTTTTGTTCATCCAACTTTTCATGTATATTGATATTTTATGATGATTAGTTGGAAGAGGTCTTTCAAAATCACATAATGCTATACATATGACTAATACCAAAAATTCACAGACTATGTCAAAATTAACAATGTAAGAAAACAACACAATTACAACCAAATACCTCCGACATCAAAAATAAAGTTCTAAAACTACTTGGCCACATTAAACAAATGGGCTGGGCCATGAGCAGGATCTATTTGGAACGCATAATTGATGGCATAAGAAGCAGGTGTCGACAACCTTAGAGATGGAGAGATTACATCACGGCATAGACAGGTCCTAATATAATTTCCCAGATATAGTAGTTAATAATGAACCACATGAAAAAAGTCTATGCAGGAGTCAACACAACAACGAGAACAGACAAGGACAGACATTGCTCCTCATCTACTGGGAGTACGCTCATATGGTCAAGGTAATAATTTCCTGGTGCACTTTTTGGGATATCTATTTTTGTGTCAGCACTCCACAGAAATAAAACCTCATTCCAGTACATATCATATTTGCTCTATTAGAAGAGCATTTGCTTTAATATGTAAATGACAAAGGGGTATTGACAGTCAAAATACATCATATTTTAATAAACCAGTATACAATAAATGGAGATGTGCTTCTAATAGAGCAAATACGTTTGCCTTTAAAAACAGCAAATTTCATTAAACTCGTAAACATTGATGTACATGTATATGGCAAAGTAATTTCCAATATTTTGACAGGTTCACTAATACCAAATGATTTATTACAAAATATCTTTATTTGGCAAGAGTGATTAACAATCAATAGAAAACTAAGAGCATTTTTTTTTTCATTTGACCTAGTTAAGCTCTCTTCAAGTGAATGGAGAGTGTGATATCAATATTAATATCCTAATAGAAAAACATCAGATATAAATTCCATCTAAAAAAATGTACACAATAAACCACAGAAGACATAGCAGCCTGAAAGATATATACAACCACTATAAGTAAGAAATAATTATTTAAAACTAGCCTAAATATATTAATTGTTATCAGCTAAACATGAGGTACATCATAAAAATTATTGAGGCAACGCAAAGTAATGCATGTCTAGCCAGGAAATCCACTCTTACAAGACGCTTGGTAGCCGATAGTATGATGACGTCAACTACTCCAGGTAATGAACAGGTATATTCCATTCTTAATGAGAGTGTCAATATTTTTTTATTAATAATGGATAGACTGCAAAATGTACGTATAATATTTTGAACTAAAGAAATTGTTTGTATAATTTTTCAATCGATAATTATTTTGATCCAAAAATAACAGCGCATATTAAACCAGTATACAATCCACAGGTAAAACAGGAAATAAATACAAATTCATGCGGCATAATTTTTTATTTGTTCTGTTTTACACTACAATTATGTTTATTTTTTTTATTTTTTTTTAATTGTATAGTATTACAATGTTTATTGTATATGTTGTCAAATTCTAAACATAAAATTTATCAAAGGTTAAAAACATCAACAAGGAACCAATCACAGTGCTGGAATTTATATCACATAGTACAGAGGCATTCTTTAACCAATAAAATAACTGGAATTTACATATCCCTGTCTGGAGATATACACCTACAAAATTGATTAAATGGTAGTCCTGGTGGAAGGATGGATGTACATGGGATATAGCAGGTAAAGATTTTTTTGTGATTTCTAAATCTTATACTTAAGTCAATATAATTAATATAAGTTCTGTAATATTGAAACCATCCAACTCCGCTTCCTGTATACATGTATGATGTATTTTTTTTATAGTAAGCACAATGTGCATCAGAAGCTATTTTTAGACACTTACACAGACACCGACAAATAATGAATATCACAAACCAACCGATTATATTTGAGTGCAGATCTGCGTCACCAAAGTAACCATGTTTGAGGCATTCTGCCATTAGGGTGAATATAGCTGCCATAAAAATGTTAATCACTACTAACCATTGACGTGTTCAGGACAAAAGGTATTTAATATGTTATCTACGACTAAGTACAAGTTTGCCATTAAAGAGTCAAAGAAACAGACAATTACCAAGTCATATACATGTACTGTAGTTTGGTTAAATTGTCAGCAGATTTGTCCCACTGGGTGAATGCAGCACTTAGAAATATTAGATATTTAACTCAAAAACATTATAAACGGGACTATTTTGTGAATTTGTGATGAAAAGGGGGAACTGGTAGTGAAAAGATTAAGGTGATATTTTAAAGAAAAATGCAGAAATAAGTATTGGAAAACTTTGACCAAAATTAAAATTATACATTTAAAATAAATATTTGTGCATATTAATCACCTAATTTGCATAATTAGTTAATTTCCACGTACATCTCAAGTACTAATCACATTTCAATGAAACTTGGTACATAGATCCTTTCAGACTATGCATAGATCTGATTAGTTTTGGGGGTAATTGTGCATATTAATTAACTTATTTGCATAACTAATAAATTTTCAACTTTCACACTGATATCTCAAGTACTAATCATCACATTTCAATGAAACTTTGTACATAGAGGCTTTAGGACAATGTACAAATATGATCAGTTTTGGGTTAAAATCTGTTCATATAATTCCCTAATTATTCATAATTGTTTGGTTCTGATCACATTTCAATGAAACTTGGTACATAGATGGTCTGTTACATTGCGCAGACCTTATTAGTTTTACGCTCTGTTCATTTTAATTTTCAGATATGCATAATTAGTTTTCAGCTTTTTCATCAATATCTCAAATACAAGTAATTTTGAATTAATTTTTACTGTGTTTCTAATACTCTTCAGCACACAGGAGTTCTTTCTAAGCTTTTTTTGATTTGGCTGTTACTATGGCAACGGTGGGCCAAATATTTTTTTTCAAATATTACCTAATAACTAGGGTGATAGTTTGAGGGAAATAGGCCAAGCCAAAAAAATTACAGAAGAAATAATACGTGAAAACACTGGAAATCACACACACAGACACACAAAATTGATTTCTATAATCCTAGCGGAACAGATTGCCAATAGTGAACAAAAATGTTCGTGAATATTACTGACCGCAAAAGACACTCATCGCGAAGTGTCTTGTATATTTAAAAAAATATTTTATTATTAATAACTTTAAAAAAAAGAGAAATCACACATGACATTATACAAAATGGCGCAAGTTACATCCAATATTATTTTGGATATAATAATTTTGAATACACATCTTTGTAACACCTGGCATAAATATTACGACCACTGAATAATATGTACACTGGTGATCATATATTTTAGACTTTTGTATACTTTTTCATTTATTTATGTTTTTGATGCAATAAATCAATAGTTGACAACTCACAGTCGATATGTGTCATAATAATATATATATTCATTGAACCAGGCAGCAGATCTTGAGTTTAACAAAGTTGAGTTTAACGTGAGCTTCCTGTAAAATCAACTGTTTTAGTCAAAACCAAAGCAGTTAGCCAATTCACTAGCGAGTTTGCAAATTGGCTGCCCTAATAGTTCTGAGACCTACTCTTCAAAAATATTGCATGAGCAATTACATTGAGACTCCTTTTTTGACAAGGGAGTGAATACTCTAATCAGTTGTTCACAGGATAGTGGGACTGGTGGACAAAATCTCCCAAAATACTTCTGCATTTCCAGAATCTCATACGATGTTCTGACATCACTTTAATCCAATAAGCTTTGTTTATCCTATTTTTACATTCAATTTCACACAAAACATGGAATCTTGACAAAAGTTGACAAGAAAAATGGTCTATTCAGATCAGCTTACACAGATATCAATGATGGGAAAATGCTGAGCACATTCTCTCTTTTGTTTTGTGAAACTGTAATTGACAAGAATTTTACAAAGTTAAATGTTCAGTTCAGTTCAGTATTAAAAAGATTGATGACAACCAGCACATCATGTGATAAAACAAGCTGTAATTGGCTAACTTCTATCACATGCTATGTAGGGCATTATAGGAGAAAATCTGTGATCAATCTACCCACTAAATATTATATTTCATACTAAACTCTCTGAACAGCGACTTAAAAGCATAGACGATGAAAATAAAACCAGACTGAATTATTTTGATAAAAATCTTGTTATAACTGCCAAATCAATACTATTACAATGCCATATGGACGTGAATAATATATTTATTCATAACATTTATGAAAACCCACCACATCCAGATTACGAGTAATGATTGATTCATTCAAAAGAACTGCATTCACTTTAAAACAAAATGGTTGCCATGTGGCCATTTTAAAATCCAATGACATGCATCAAGGTTCTATGATATATGCTCCAAGTTTGAATAAAATCCCTCTTTGCATGACTGTGATCAAGTTTCATAATGGCAGAAATGATAGATTTTGGTCCATTTTTAGGGCTAAAATCTTGAATCGGATCATAAAACAAATGGAAGTGCAAGACGTATGTGTAAA